AGGGCTGGCTTTGAACCATGATCCTTAGATTTCAGCCTCCTAAGAAGTTAGGATTAGTTGGGTATTTGTGGCTCAACCCTGTAATCCTAGCTACTCAGGAGACTGAGATCTGAGGAACACGGTTCAAAGCTAGCTAGAGCAGGTAAGTCTGTGATACTCTTTTTTTTTTTTAATTTTATTTTATTTTATTTGAGAGCATACTGTACAGAGGGGTTACAATTACATGGGCAGGATAATGCATACATTTCTTACCAAGCGTTGCAGCCTCCTCCTTTGTTTACCCTTCACCTCCCAGTCTGTGATACTCTTATCTACAATAAACCACCAGAAAGTCAGAAGTGGTGCTGTGGCTCAAGTGGTAGAGTGCTTGCCTTGAGCTGAGGAGCTCAGGGACAGAGCCTAGGCTCAGAGTTCAGGCCCCATGACAAAAAAAAGAAAAAAGAAAAAAGAAAAAAGTTAGGATTATAGATGTGAACCACCAATATCTGGTTCTGCTCCATTTATTTTTCTTCACATTTTAGCTCCTATCCCCTCTGAATGGAGGTTTGGTCCCTTAGAGTTAGGGAGTTTAGATGTAGTATCCTACAGAGGTCTGTGTGCTAAGGGTTTGGTCTTCAGCTTGGAGCAATTGGGAGGTAGAAACTTTAGGAGGTGGGATCTAGTGGGAGGTCTTTAGATGTTTAGAGGTGAGACCTTGAAAGGGGTTGTGGGACTTTGATTTCTTCCTCTTCCTCCCTTTTGTTAACAGCACAATGAGGTAAGCATTTGTGTTCTACCCCGCATTCCTGCCATGTTTTGCTGTATTGCACAGGCCCACAGACTCAAACCTGTAAACTGTGTGAACCAAACTAAACCTTTTCTCTTTATTTCAGGTATCTTACTAGAGTGATAGAAAGCTAACCTGTCCACCCCATTATCCTGTTCTGCATTGTCTTAGAGTATCTTGTTGGGAACTTCAAAAGAGGTGTGGGGCTAGAGATATAATTCAGGACAAAGCCCTGGCCTAGCATGCACAAAACCCTGGATTTGATCCCCAGAACCAGAAGAGAAAAGAAAAAAGAAAGAGGAAGAAAACCAAAAAAGCTATAGGTATGGAGTGTTGACAAAATGAAGAGTGGGACATAAAGATCAATCAGCCTACTTGCCTTCTTCACTGTTGTCTCTCACTAGACCCCAAACACTCTCCCAGGGTGGCTGTGTGCAGCCTGAGTACCTGACCATGGTGGCTGTTGAATGAAAGTGAGCAGACACCTTGACCATTCTCCCCTCTGCGGCACAGAATGTACCACACTTGAGGCTGTCTTAGGCTGTCTTTTAGAGGTCCAAAAACTAGCAGGTAGCTGACCACTCCCATCCCTCGGAGGTCTCTCTAGGCCTTGGGTCACAGATCCCATGTCTCACTGCCTACTGGGGAGCAGCAGGAATCTTTCTTAGCTACAGATTACCTTGGGGCCAAGGAGAGGGGGATAGGCTGACTGTGGAGGCTGATTAGTACTGGGAACATGGCTGTTGGGTGTCAGAATTCATCCTAGTAGTGTCCAAGCCTAATGGCCATCTTCCTTTCAGCCGGGGTCTGGAGGGGAGAGGCAACGAAGATTCTGGGGAGAGGCAAGGACTCTTTCCTAGGAGGCTTCTGAGGACACAGTCTGCCAAGGTAGGCACCTGTTCCTAACGAACAGCTGGAAGATGGAAGAGTAAGACACGATTTGGAAAGTCTCAGATTCTTCCTCTCCTCTTTGTTCTAACTGCACGTGTGGTTTCTTTGGATGGCAGAGGGTGTGTGTGTGTGTGTGTGTGTGTGTGTGTGTGTGTGTGTGTGTGTGTGTGTGTGTGTGTGTGTGTGCGCTGCATCTGCTGATCCCAGGGCTTCAACTCAGGGGTGTGTGTGTGTGTGTGTGTGTGTGTGTGTGCTGCATCTGCTGATCCCAGGGCTTCAACTCAGGGCCTCCGTGGTGTTTCTGAAATTTTGTGCTCAAGGCTTCTCTACCACTTGAGTTACAGTTCCACTTCTGGCTTTTTTGGTTATTAGTTGGAGATAAAGTCTCATGAACTTTTCTGCCCAGGTTAGCTTTGATTTGTGATCCTTAGATCTCAGCCTCCTGAATAGCTAGAATTATAGGCATGAGCCACTGGTACCCATCATGGGATGTTTTTAATTAGTTTTTTTGCAGTACTGGGGTTTGAATGCAGAGCCTTATACTTTCTAAGCTGGTGTTTTACTGCTTGAGCTATGCCTCCACTTGTGCATTTTTCTGGTTATTTTGGAAATGGAGTCTAGTGAATGTTTTTACATGTTGGCCTTGAACTGATTCTCCTTATCTCAGCCTTTTGAGTAAGTAGGCATGAGCCACTGCACATTTTTGTGAGGGTATGTTAAGATGGGGTCTATGTTGCCCAAGCTAGCTTCTAACTCCTAGGCTCAAGTGAACCTCTTGCTTCAACTTCCCAAATAGCTGGTATTACAGGCCAGTACCGTTGTACACAACTAGGAGAGATCTTTTTAAATGTTACTCTATGGGGGGGGGAGGGGGGTGTCTCACATTTATAATCCTATATAATCAGGAATCAGAGACTTGGAGGATAATGGCCTTAAAGCCAGCCTGGGCAGAACTCTTTGAAAGACTACATCTCCAATTAAACAGCAAAGAGCTGAGCTGGAGGTGTGGACCAAGTGGCAGAGTGCCAGTCATGAGCAAGCAAGCCAAGAGATCATGAAACCCTGAGTTCAAGCTCTGGTACCTGGGGAGGATGCGGGGGAGGAGTTGCTTTCCTTTCATAGTCCTTCAAGTGGCTCCCCATTTCCCTTAGGCTGAAATCCCAACTCTTTCACACAACCCTTGCCTCCAGGCTGGGCTCTTTGGTGCTTTGCTATAATTTCCAGCCAAGCCCAATTGCTCAACATTCTTATTGCTTTCGTCCCTTCTGGTCCGTCTATTCTGGAGTACATCCTTTTGAAAGACCTCCTGGATCCATGTATTTAGGCTTCTATCCTCTGTAATCTGCAGCTTCTCTATCCTCTGAAATCCGGAATTTACCTTTGTTGGAACATCGTTGTCTCCCTTGTCAAACTGTTTTAAAAGAGCAGGGTCTTAGCGCTCAATAAATGATCCAGAGTTTAACTGAGTCTGCTAAAGTCCCTTCCCCAGGCTGGAGAAGAAACCGAATCTGGAGAGCAGCTGGAGTCAGAAGGCTGTCCAGCTGCTTCTAGATGCCCCTCTCCTTCAATTCCCCAGAACCAGGCTTCCTGGGGTACCACTCCACAACAAATGGTCTGATTTGAACAAAGCCAGAACTCAGCCAAATTATGCAAATGATGGTAGGAGGTGGGAAAGGCAATGACATGGCCTCAGCGTCCCCCAGCTGCCCCTCATCCTCCGGGGCTTCCCCCCCCCCCCAAAGAAGCCAGCTTCTCTTCTGTCCCCTGAAGGCTGTTTTCAAAATCACACCCATGCAGACAGTTTTATTTACAAGGAAATCTTGGCAGGATCTTGACTTGTTAGTAGAGTAGGGAAGGGAGGGAAGGTGGTGAGAAATAAAAATAGTTAAAATGATCACACTTTCAGAAACCGAGATGAAAATTGGTGTCTGTAGCGAAGAACTCACCTAATTAGGATGGAGCTAATTTCCTTCTGTGTTCAAGGGGAGCAGTCAGAGCTGGGGGAGATGGTCACAGGTTGGATCCCAGGACTGTGTTGGTTATGTGTTTGCCTGACAAAGCCGAGAGCATGCATCACAACTTTCGCAAACAGAAGGAGCCCGTTTCTGACAGGAAGTTGAGAGAGGCCCAGGTGGTACTGGAAGGGGCAGAAGGGGCAGGGGGCGGGGAGGGCTGGGTTCATCAAGGGTGGGGGTCTGATTGTGAGATCTCACCAGGAGTGAGACCCTGAGACTTCCATGCAGAAAGGGGCACCTGTCCCAGTGAGCCACTGGTACCAGTTACAGGCAGAGCCTCTGCTTAGGGGGTGAGTGGGGGGGCAGCGTTCCCAGGATGTAAAAGATCCCTTAAGCGGTTTTTGTTTTTAGTTTCTACATCGCCCTTTCCCCCCGGTTGGGCACTCTCCTGGGCTGCACGTGGTCCGACGGAAGCCTGGGCAGAGTCTCAGGCCTTTGGGTTATAGGAAGGGCAAGGTTTAGGGTTTGGGGGTCTCAGAGAGATCTCCTCCCTCCCCCCTTATCTGACTTCTCCAGTATCTAGGTTTTTCCTTGGACCTCCCAGAATCTGGGTGAACAGAGGCAGGAGCGGTGGTGGTGGGGAACCCAATCCTCACAACATCCCGCCCCGAATCCTTCCTAGTTAATTAACCCTGAGGTTGCCAAAGAGTGAAAACCTGGCTTCTGCCTCCAATACTCAAACTGCCGCTGCCTCGGGGCGATCGCGATCGTCACCCCGGCAGTGGAAGCGAATGGTAATGGGGTGGAGGGCAACGCAGTCCCCACCCCTGCCCAGGCCGGGCACCCTCATCTCCCCCCCCCCCCCCCCGCCCCGCCAGCCCCGCCGCAGCCCTCCTTCCCTCCTCCCCCGGGCAGCGCGGCTCGGGCCCGGGCGGTGGCGTCCGGGTGGGGTGGGGCGGGGGCCCCCCGCGCCCCGCGAGCAGCCCCGCCCCCGCCCGCGCGCCGCCCCGGAGGAGTCCGCGGGGAGGTGGAGACTCGGGCGCAGAGCGGGGGCCGCGCGGAGCGGGAAGGGAGCGCGGGGAGCGGCGGGGCCGGGCCGGCCCAAGGGCGCCCTCGCCTCAGAGCCAGGCGCGGGGCCGCGGCGGAGGCGGAGGCCGGCGGCGCCGTACGGCGAGGCGAGCGCGAAGTTTGGCGGCGGCGGGCCCGGCGTCCCGCGGTGGCCGTCGCCAGGGCCATGGGGGCGGGCGCGGGCGGCGGGACTGGCGCGGGGGCGGCCAGGCGCGCACGGAGCTCCCGGAGCGGCGCGGCCGCCGCGGCGCAAAGTTAGCCCGGCGCCCCGGGACGAGCGCCGCCGCCGCCGCCGGCGCCGGAGCCCCCACCCCGTGGCCATGGGCGAGCACCCCAGCCCCGGCCCCGCCGTGGCCGCCGGCGCCGAGGCGGAGCGCATCGAGGAGCTGGAGCCCGAGGCTGAGGAGCGGCTGCCCGCGGCGCCCGACGACGTGAGTGCCCCCCTGCCGCGCCGCGCAAACTTTCTGGGGGGCGCCAGGTGGGAAGCCTCCCCGGCTCCCCGCACCCGGTAACTTAGAGGTTTCAAGGTGATGCGGGAGCGCCGGGGATTTCACCGGGTCCTCGCGGCGAGCCCGGGGAGGCTGGGCTGGGGACCACCGGGCTCCCCGGACATGCACGCGCGCGCCTCCCCTCCCCCGCCCGGGCTTCCCCTGCGGGACGCAGCCCCGGCGGTGGAGCCCGGGACCTGTGGGCCCGCGCTCCTACCCCCTCCCCGCGCTGCTGCCCCCTCCCCGCGCTCCTACCCCCTCCCCGCGCTCTTACCCCTCTCCCCGCGCTGCTGCCCCCCCCTCCCCGCGCTGCTGCCCCCCCTCCCCGCGCTCCTACCCCTCCCCGCGCTGTTGTCCCCCTCCCCGCGCTGCTGCCCCCCTCCCCGCGCTCCTACCCCCCTCCCCGCGCTGCTGCCCCCCTCCCCGCGCTCCTACCCCCTCCCCGCGCTGCTGCCCCCCTCCCCGCGCTCCTACCCCCTCCCCGCGCTGTTGTCCCCCTCCCCGCGCTGCTGCCCCCCCTCCCCGCGCTCTTACCCCCCTCCCCGCGCTGCTGCCCCCCTCCCCGCGCTCCTACCCCTCCCCGCGCTGTTGTCCCCCTCCCCGCGCTGCTGCCCCCCCTCCCCGCGCTCCTACCCCCTCCCCGCGCTGCTGCCCCCCTCCCCGCGCTCTTACCCCCCTCCCCGCGCTGTTGTCCCCCTCCCCGCGCTGCTGCCCCCTCCCCGCGCTGTTGCCCCCCCTCCCCGCGCTCCTACCCCCTCCCCGCGCTCTTACTCCCCCTCCCCGCGCTGCTGCCCCCTCCCCGCGCTCCTACCCCCCTCCCCGCGCTCTTACTCCCCCTCCCCGCGCTGCTGCCCCCTCCCCGCGCTGCTGCCCCCCCTCCCCGCGCTGCTGCCCCCCTCCCCGCGCTCCTACCCCCCTCCCCGCGCTGCTGCCCCCTCCCCGCGCTGCTGCCCCCCTCCCCGCGCTTACTCCCCCTCCCCGCGCTGCTGCCCCCTCCCCGCGCTGCTGGCCCCCCTCCCCGCGCTGCTGCCCCCCCTCCCCGCGCTCCTACCCCCTCCCCGCGCTGGTGCAGTGCCCGGGACGCGGCGCCTGCCTGCAGAGGCGGCCGCGTCACGGCCGTGGCTCCCCTGCCCTCCCCCTCGCGACCTGCGGACTCCGCCAGCCCAGCTCTGCCGCCGCAGAGCTCCCCCCCCCCCGCCCCCCGCTACGCAGACCTATCTGGGGACCCCCCTTTCCCTGCTCCCACATCAGCTCCCGCCCCGGGCAACCTGCCCTGACGCCACACTGGTTGGAATTCAAACTGGTCCCCATCCCTCCGCCGGGCCGGGCAGGGATTGGAGTGTGGGGAGCTGGTTTGCTCCCTGGAGAAGGCTCGGGCGCTCCATCGAGACCTCAGCGCTGCTGCCTCGGACGGGGCCCTGGGGGGAGGAGAGGGGAGGGGAGGGAGGGAGGAGGGGTTCCCCCCAGAGGGCTTTCCTGCCATCTGCCGCTGGGGTCTCCGACACGCCGGTCCTGGAGTCCAAGGATCCAGCACTGGCAAACTGTGGGAGCTAGAGTTGCTTAGGCTTCTCCCATCCTGGGTTAACCAGCAGGTATGGGTGGCAAAACTAGGCATAGACCCCTTGCCCTGCCCTCTCCCTCCTTCAGTGGAGAGAGATGGAAGTGGAACCAGGGCTACCCGACCTGCAAAACCTAAGCCAGCAAATCTGGATGGGGCTGGGAGTTTCACCTCTTTCTGGCTTCTGTGGTTAAACCTATCACTTCCTTCCGGCCCTATAGACTCTCCTCTACTCACCACTTAGACTTAGCGTCAGAAAAGAATTGGGAAACTTCCTTCCTCACTCCTACAACAAAACAAAAACCCCTAGGTATAGGGGTGAGTTCCTGGCCCCACAGAGGGCCTGAGCTTTTGAACGCAGAAGTTACCAGTTGCAGGCCTTTTCCTTGGCCTTTGTTGAGAAGCATCTTTGTCCCTCTAAGGAACTGCCTCCCACCAGGGACACTCAGCTGGCTAGCTCCCATTCCAACCCCCTACTGTGAGTTCCCTGTCTTTGCTCATTTGGAGGAGGGGGTCTTCCCCCCGGGTTTTCCCTGGGCTCTTGCTGCCCATCCTTGAGGCTAGTTCTGACTCCTAGGCAGCAGCTGGGAGGCTGTCAGAAACCTTAAGGGGCTGCAGAGACCTTGGTGATATGTGTCTTTCTCTTCTCTTTCTCTTCTGCATGGCCTCCCTCTCTACCAGCACTGGAAAGTCCTGTTTGATCAGGTATGTGAGCAGTTAACAACCTCTCCCCCCCCCCCCCCCCCTCCAGTCCTCCCTGAAATCAGTCTCAGTCTCCCTGCTTGCGTGGGCTTCCCTAGCTCTGTGCTCCTGAAATGATGACGTCAGGTGGGGGCGTGGTTTGGTGCATCTCAGGCTGAGCAACACTGTGCTCCAGGTATCAGGAGGAGGCCTTGGGCTCCTCTGAGAGAATCCCTTCCTCCCTCCTCACAACTCCTGCTGTACAATAGCTGGGCTTACACAATGTAGAAATTGTACTGAATGCCTAGGAAGTTTTCTGTTGCAGCAGGAGGGAAGCTGGAGAGGTGGGGGATGGGTTTAGGTTAACCATCTAGCTGCCTGTCTTTCTACCTACCTCCACCATGGAAGGTCCCTGGCCATCACTGAAGTGGAAAATCTCTGCCATCCTTGAGTGGGGGGTAGAGGAGCTGATTTGGGCTTTAAAGACTGATTTTGTTTCTTTAGTTCTGGGCTACCAAAATGGGGAGGGCTGAGAGGTTACAAGTGAAAAATACCATGTGATTATTTGCAGTGCCTGGAGTCTTAATGTAGGGAATGGAATTGGGAGTGCCATGTGTTGGCATTGAGCCAGAGGTGGACATTTGACCTTCACCAAGGAAATGATACTCTTTTGGTTCTCAGGTGCTACTCTGTATTTCCTTTGCACTCTTTAACCCATGGTGCAGGAACGGGAGAGGTAGGAGATATCCAAGTGTGAGGGAATAGTGAACACTGCAGTCCTGCTGTGGGAATGATTGTACCACGAACTTTGTGCAGCTGTAAGATTATCAGTATATTTGGACCAGTAGAAGGTGTTGGGTTACAGAGAGAGATAAATATGAAAAAAGGTGAAAATATGATCCAGATCTCTGCTATAGTCAAGGGAAGCCTTTGAAAGGTTTTTAGCAGAGTTGTTTGGGGATTGTAGGGATGAGAGAAGCTAGCCAGGGGCTTGTTGCAGTGAATGGAAAGACGGATCTTGTATTAGTCAGCTTTCTGTGACTATAATAAACACTTGAGACAGATTATGAAGAGAAAGGTTTGCTTTAGCTCATACCTTTGGGGGTTTAAATCTGTGGTTGCTTGGCCATGTGACAAAGGAACATATCATGGCAGAGGCTTGTGATATAGCAAAAGTCATTCACCTTACGGCCACAGCAGAGAGGGAGAGACTAAGGTTCCACAGTCTCCTTTAGGATACACCCCTGGTGGTCTAAAGACTTCTTTCTTAGCCTCATCTCTTAAAGCTTTCACTGATTCCCAATAGCTCCAAGCTGGGGAGCAGGCCTTTAACATGTTAACTTTTGGGAGACACTTATCCAAGGCATGGGATACCTTGACTTACAAGGTGATCATGAAAAAGTAAAGATAGAAAAAGTGTAGAAAGGGCTGGGAAGGTGGCTCAGTCGTAGAGCGCTTGCCTTGCATGCCAGGGGCCCTGGGTTCGATTCCTCAGTACCACATAAGCAGAAAGAAAAAAGCCGGAAGTGGCGCTGTGGCTCAAGTGGTAGAGCGCTAGCCTTGAGCTGAAGAGCTGAGGGACAGCGCCCAGGCCCAGAGTTCAGGCCCACGACCAGACCCAAAAAAAAAAAAAGAAAAAGTGTAGAAAAAGGAGAATGGGAAGATAGTTAATGACCTGGCTAGCTGAGAGGTACCATATATCTAACAGATTTTGAACTTACCAGGAAAGGGAAAAGTAGAAGTGGGGGAAGGGCTGGCAAGCAACCTCTGGCTCCAGACAAGTTGAATTTGAGGAGCCAGCTAGATGTAAAGGCTTGAATGAGACTGAGCACCTGGGATTGCAGGAGGAAAGACACAGCAGGTCTCAGCTGAGAATTTGGGGCTAGCTCTGAATGAGGGCTGGCTATAGAGCACTGATTATCACTGTCCTGACAAGAGAGAGCATCTCTCTTAGTTTCTAATGCCACCCACTCTCCCTCTGGCCCCCAACGAAGGCCAGCAACCCCTGGCCTGATGCCTTGAGGCAGGAGGGAGCTACACTGCCACTACGACCAAGCAGCCAGCCCTTCACACCTCCTGCCAAATTTAGAATCAGAACTTAGAACAAAGTGTATCATGCTTTTTCTTTATGTCTTTCACATTTGGCTAATTTCCTTGGCCAGTTCGTGTGTGTGTGTTTACATTTTTTTGGGGGGGGGATCCGGTCATGGGGCCTGAACTCTGGGCCTGGGTGCTCTCCCTCACCTCTTCAGCTCAAGGCTAGCGCTCTACCACTTGAGCCACAGCGCCACTTCCAGCTTTTTTCTTTTTGCTTATGTGGTGCTGAGGAATCGAACCTAGGGCCTCAGGCATGCAAGGCAAGCACTCTACCACTGAGCCACCTTCCCAGCCCCTGTGTTTACATTTTAAAAGAAACCATTTGGTTGAATGGAGAACTTTTAGCAGGAAGAATTTGGATCTGGAGAGCAATTCCAAGCAGAGAGAATGTGAGGCATTCAATATTTAGCTGTTGGTCCATAAAATCTAGCTGCAGGGGTGCTAGGGTATGGCAGAGGGCATCTCCTTGCTTCTGGAGAGGCCCACTCAGAAATCATATTGGTGCTTTGTGTTTGAGGCGAGCTGCTCCTGAGCATGACTTTCACCTCTGGCAAATGTTGCTCTTTTGACAGCTCACAGAGCTCAAGAAAGAGTACGTATGAACCCTCAAGTAGCATGTGCCTCAGGACAGCATGTTATTCCCGCCTCTTTTTCTGAGTCTGACTAAAAGTAAGATTTGGCAAAGGTAAGTTGAGTGCACACAGGAAAGGAAATGCAGTCAGTCCTCTCAGCATTTCTTCCTCGATGGTGGAACAGTGGTACAGAGACAGGACATTCATCACAAGCCTAGTACTCGAGTTCACCTTCCAGAGGTCAGTGGCCTGGGAGACTATAACCAGTTGGCATGCCCTCCCTCTCCATCCTGGGAAGGAAGAGATTGGACCAACTTCTTCCAGGCTCTATGGTTCTTCATTGTGTTTCATATAGCCTTGTCTACTATGAAGCTAACTGGACCCCAAGGACTAGAACCTAGAAGTCATTCTGGTTAGACAAAATTAATTCTAAGAAAGAAACTATACCTAGGTGGTCATCCTTCTAGCATGTCTTTTGTGGTGACTGGAATTGAGAAAAGCAGGTGAGCCAGCACTTCAGAAGTGCCCCTGGCCCCACAGTCATTGTGGCATTGGTCTGCTCACAACGGGATGCAACAGGGCCAATCCATGCCACTCCTTCTCTTTTACATCCCTGTGGGCTGCAGAGTCTGCACAGGCGGGAAACCCAAAGTCCACCAGCGAGTCTCCCAGGTGTCTCATGTGTTTGTTGCCCAGCTTCTCCTTAAAGGGTCTTATCTTTGGCATCTTCATGGTTTTTCCTAAATATTTAGGTCTTAAAGTTGTCATAGGGTGGATATGTGGAACACTGGCTTAGTGTGCAGGAAGCCCTGGGTTCTATTTCATCACTTCATCATAACAGTAATGATAAAGTTGCTATCAATTAAATCTGTTATTGTAGCACAATAGCATAACAAAACAAGCAAGCCAAGGCCCTGAGTTCAAAGCCTAAAAATGAGGGGAGTAGGGGTGGGATTTAACGAAGAAGAAGAAGGGTTTAGAGCAGAGTTCTGTTAAATCAACAAAGCACAATTGCTTTTGAACTCAAAAGAGTAAGAGAGAAAAGGAAACCTTTAGAAATCATTTGGTTGTGTCCCTTTCCCACTAGGGAACACGAATTTCCCAGACTCCAGGAGACTCTAACTTTGCTAGTCCCTTCCCTACCCCCACCCCTCTACCCCCCCATCCCCACCCACAGGAAGTCTGCATTGACATTCCCAATGACATTATTATATTATGCTGCAGACAGAGCATGGGGAAGCTTCGATGGGCTATTGGGGCAGTACTTTGGATCTGGGTTCCAGTCTTACCAACTTTGTAACTGAGGCGATTGTAGGCTCACTCTGAGCCTGTTTGCTCTCCTGTAAGATGGGGGTGGTGATCTTTAACTCCAGGGTGACTGAGAATTAACTGAATGTGGAAACTCTCTTTGCAGTATCTGATTCCTAATGAACATTAGCTCCTGGTAGACTGTGAATCCTTCTTTCCTAGAAAAGACACCTGGACTTTTGTGGAGAAGGCCGCTGAGCAAGAGAGCCACTTCTGGGCCCAGAGGATTTTTTGGCTTTCTTTCTCCCCAGCATATGCCCTATCCAGCTCCCTTTCCCTATAGCCTGAGGGATCTTCTGCTGGCCTGGCCCTGACACCTACCTTATTCATAAAATTCCTGTAAGCTGACTTAGGGGGAGTTCTGGGAGCCAAGGAGAGGTTCAGATGAAACTGCTGAATGGATTAGTGAGCAGCCATAGAGAAAACACCTGCGCAGAGATAACAGCATGGACCATAGCTCCCAAAACATGTGATTAGCCAATGGAGTAGGATTCCCAAAGAGGGGTAAAGCCATGAGTTTAATTGGAATTCCTTCCTCCAGCTCTGCACCCCTAACCCCTTAAACAGGTGGCCTCTAGGACCCTTGAAGCCAGGGACTTCCCTGTACCACAAAGCCAGCTTTCCCTGCTGGCTTCTATTTGAGCCACCCTATCAGCCATGCTGGAAATAATTCTATCCTTGTCCACTGACACAAAATAGCCATAAGCAGGGTGCCCAAGGGATCTGAGCTTGTATACTACCTGCCTGACACACGTTAGGTCCACACAAATTTGAGTGAATGATAGATTGATCTAAGCCCTGCAGGTGCCATCTTGGATTAAAATAGCCTCTCCAGGAGCAGACCTTGGCCATGGTGCTGTCAGGCTCATATTGTCCTTCCCCTATACTGTGGCTGCTGACCCCTCAAGAATCATAGGTTATTAGAAGGCCAGTGGAAACATCTTGTCCAGTCTGTCCATTTTGCAAATAAGTAAAGGTCAGTGACCTTCTGAGGTGACTTGGTCACTAATGAAAGGTCCAGAGTGAGTATCAGAGATTCCTGTGTCC